AAGTTAACTGCCAAACCCGCGGCAGGACAAATGTGCCTTCTCCCTTCTTCCCTCCCGTGCCTTGCCTGGCACTGGGCTCATGGGCAGAGCTCAGAAGTGCTGTACTCACCCCTTGTCTGAGGTATCTCTCAGGTCAGACTAGTCCGGTACAGATGAGGAAACTGAGGCCCAGACTCACGTGGTCTTTCTTCTCTAAGCTGACAGAAGTGCAGTCTGAAGCTTTGTTAGGAGTTTATGTCTCACATACCACTGGGAGGGAAGTTATAGACTCGAATCATTACAGGGCCCACAAATACCTGTACAAAAGCCCTAAAGGACAATAGGAATTGGAATGCTTGTTCTGAAAGAACCTTCCCCCAGGAGAAAACTCTAGCTGTACTTATTGCTTGGAGAAGCCTGTTAGATTCTTGGGGGGGGGGGGGGAGGAGTCTATCAGCCTGGTCCTTAAGCACCATATAGTAAAAACCAGTGTGTTTTGACTGATTTCCTCCTTCCCCCACCTAATCTACTGATGGTTTTGATCATATAGAAGAAGCCTGTAAGAGAGCAAGACCCGGTGAGTGTCAGCCTCACTTTTCCTCTCCAGCTTTCTGTGGTTTGGTTTTCATAAGAGCCAAAGGAAGGTGGGGAGCCCTGAGGCCATGTCCACACAGGCATGAATTATACAGGCCTGTTGGGAAGCAAATAGTCTTTTTATTTAATAAAGGGAATTTTGTATGTATGTGTTTAAAAACTTAGTTCATTCATTCATTCAATAAATATTTTTAAAAGAAAATATTCATCTATCAAATTTCCTCAAAAGATAATTGACTTGGACAAATGAAGTTTATGATGCTATGGAGCGTGTGTAATACAGAGTTTGAGTATCCATCCATCCACGTGAAAGTGTTGAGAAGACAGCCAAATATGTGGAGCTCAGAGGCAATGTCTAGGCTGGTAACAATGGAGATTTTATTAAAAAAAAAAAATCCAGGCCGGGCGCTGTGGCTCACGCCTGTAATCCTAGCTCTTGGGAGGCCGAGGCGGGCGGATTGCTCAAGGTCAGGAGTTCAAAACCAGCCTGAGCAAGAGCGAGACCCCGTGTCTACTATAAATAGAAAGAAATTAATTGGCCAACTGATATATATATATATAAAATTAGCCGGGCATAGTGGCGCATGCCTGTAGTCCCAGCTACTCGGGAGGCTGAGACAGAAGGATCACTCGAGCCCAGGAGTTTGAGGTTGCTGTGAGCTAGGCTGACGCCACGGCACTCACTCTAGCCTGGACAACAAAGCGAGACTCTGTCTCAAAAAAAAAAAAAAAAACCAAAAAAATAATAAGCCCAAATTAGAAAGACAAATCTTAAGTAGAATAAATGTATTTTTCTTCCATTTAGGTTTTTGTTAGTGGCAATAAAATAAGCAGAGACAAATAAGCACTACTCACATGGCGGGGGGAAGTGGGCTTTTTGGTTAACCACAAGTTTAATTTGAACCTAAAGTGTTAAAAACAATAGCAAAAAAAGGAAACTGTGAGTATGATTACAATAATAAAAATAGTTATTGGTGTTTAAGCATCTAATGGCGTGCTTGTTGTTGCAAGGTACTTTAGTTATATTATCTCTGATCCTAACTCCCCTAAAAGGCATGTGGGATACCCCGGGTACACTTCTCCCCCACTCGATGCTTGCGGTTCTGTGTATAGCATGCGGTTCTTGCCTCCCTCCCTCTGCTGAGGCTCCTCATCTCCTCCACCTAGAATCCCACTTCCCCTTCCTGAATTCATCTAGAAGTTGAAAGCCTTCTTCTATAAGCCCACACAGCGTTTTCTTCAGAAAGTCTCCCCTGGCCCGCCCCAGATCCTTTAGGCTGGATGTAACTATTCATCCCACTTCCTAACTGCTGTGAGCTCCCTGAGGGCAGGGAAAGGCCTCTCATCTCTGTATCACTGAGGGTTTTTGACCCACTGGCATCTGTGCTGATCAGATGCTAAGTGACCAGGTAACTTAGCTAGGGCTAAATTATTGTGCCCAGACACTAGGGGAAAATGTGACAAATTGGGGACTCAATAGAGGAGAGTTACTGGCATGGCAAGGGGACTTGTAGCTTTGTTCTGTAGATAATGGGTAGTAGAACCAAGATGCTCCCACAGCTGTCCAGTGGATTGTTGGGCTATCCAAAACACCGCTGTAACTCTGGAGAACAGAGAGTAGAATGTCACTCAGAACAACGAGGGCTTGTCAAATTAAAACTGATAACAAATAGGCCACTCTGGAGAGTGGGAAGTTCAAACACTCATTGGTACACTTGTCAGGGCTGCTTTATTGGACATGAGAGCAGATTAGATAGACTCTAGGGTTCTCTTCAGCGAGCATATATTAGGCACCTGTTATGTGCAAGGTTCTGGAGGCACAGCAGAGAATGGGAGAAGAATGCCCCTGCCCTTATGGGACTTGCAGTATAGTAGGGTATGTGCTTTTGGGTCTTCCAAGAAGCAAATGCCAAGACCGTGCAGACAGCGTGTAAAAGATTTACTGGGGATGAAGGGAGCAGGAGTAGGCAGGGAGAACCTCAGGCCATGATACAGATCCAGAGTCTGTGGAAGGAGAGAATCTGGGAAGGATGAAGTAGAAGCATCTCAGACCACAGCAGCACTGAGAAAGTTAGGGCCAGGCTGGTGGGGAGTCCCCAAGCCAAGCTTTCCCCCATGGAGGAGTCCCACGCTAGGCAGGAATGAGCCAGCGCCAGTCCCCCTGCTGTGTCCAGTCAGTGGCTGGGAGCAGCCAGAGGGAAGCAGGGCCTCTGTGCCTCAGCTCTGCTCCCGTGGCAGGTTCTCTTGAAGGAGGTCTGAAGGGCACGCTTCCATGGCTGCCACATGGGGATGCTGGAAAGCACTGCCCTGTCACACAGTGCCTTCTGGATGTGCTCCCTCAGTGTCATTTCGAGGGCTTCTGCAGCTATGTGCCAGCAGATGGTGGAGCTGGATTCCAGCACAGATGCCTCTGACTTCATAAAATCTGTGTGTGTTAACTAATACCCTGCTGTATCTCAGGACTTCTCTCTGCTCGTGAGACGGAGTCTGGAACACACACCTGCTTGCCCACTGTCACAGTTGGCAACTGAGTGTGTCAATACCAGTAAGTGACAGAACTTTGTCTGTAACTTGATTTGTGAATAATTTATATCAGGTTGGAACTGTGATTTGAGCGAAGGCCTGTCTGGTTCTCTGTACAGTTTAATTTCTACTGTGCTTCCTGAGGACAGGGCCCAGAAGGTTTATCTGGGAGAGGAGCAACTCCTCCTAAGCATATTCTCTTAAAAGATACATTGTTTCAGGCTCCAGAACACAGAGACAACTGCTGCCTCCTTAAATATCTGCGGAATGAATGATGAACTGTGGGGAAGAAAAATGCAGCACATTTTGCAGACCAAAACCCTAGAGTTCACTCTCAACACCTCTGCCCGCAGACGTGCCACAGGGCCCACCACACAGGCTTGGATGGCTATCAGGTGTGCCCTAGTCTCCTAAACCCCAGAACCAGAGCTGAGCAGTCAGTGGCAAGATTGAGACCCAGCAGTAGATACGTTCGGTGTGGGTTTGAGAGCCAGTACTGACACTTATCCATAACGTGCACAGGAATTCACTTGAAGTGAAATGAGGGAATATGTAGAGAAGGGCCTCATATGTGGCACTATACACTCAAGTATTGCTGAAAGTAGAATAACTATGTACTGGATTGTCCACAATCTCTGAGCGGCAGGGGGCACTTGGGTCCTGGAGAAGCTCAGCCCTGTAGAAGACTTAGGAACTGAATACACTGACCAAGTTGAGTTTCCAAGTCCCTGAGGACTAGTCTCACAAACAGCACTGCTTTTATCCCCCAGTAACCGCTGGGGATAGGGATCAAATATTTTGTTTCCTTTTTCTCTCGACAGCTTGGTTGTCAGCATTACAGTTATCCATTATCATGCGTACTTTGCTTCTGTATTATTGCTTCTGAATTGTGGGGCATTAGAATTCTGTTTCCAGTTCTTCCCTGTCTTTCTATGCACCCCATCCTGACCACTGTCACTCCTCACTGCTGTCAGTGTGCCTTCCCTCAGCAGCCACATGCCTTTTACATTTGGGAACTGTAATGTGCTGGAGACTGAGAATGTGTTCAAGATTGTTAGGCGTATTTGTAAATGAAGAGCTACCAGGCTCTTAGAGACTTCCTCTGAATACAGGGGCCAGGAATGTTAAGTGTATTAATTTTAGTGATGACTGTTTTCTCTCTCCAAGGGTTTCTTCCTTGGTTCTGTGTCATATTCTGAATGGATGCAGTTGCTTTGTTAGGTAAAGGTCTTCAGCAAAGTGAGGTGCAGCCATCTCTTTATTTTGATTTATGTTGCTTTTTTCTTTAGATAATCTAATCACTTCATTGTCCACATAGCTTATCTGATGCTACCCTATCATGATACCACAAATGGAACATTTCGTTGGATATTGCAAAGGATGTTATCTGTGTCATGTGCTCTAGAGTCAGAATGGGTTGGAAATCTCAAATTTCATCACTGAATACTTTTGTGATCTTGCCTAGATCTTTTCAAGTGTCTGAGCCATACTTTTCTCATCTATAAAATAGGAGATAATAAATAATTATTTCATAAGTTGTGAAGCTTAGGTGCTTTAATGCATTCTCTTATTTAATACAGTACATAGAATATTGTGGATATTGACAAATTGTTATTGTAATTCCTTTCTTATTCAGGCAACTTTTCCCCTGAAAGCAAAACTGTGAGTCTTTTCTAAGCTATTGAAAGTTTTGACACAGAACCTCTTCTCTACTGCTCATGGTCTTTGGAGAATGAAAACTCATCATCTCACAAAGTAGCACTTCCATAGACAGTTGGAAGTTCTGGAAATTAGAAGGTTTCTTCGTGTCAAATAGCAATTGGCCTCTGTTTCAGAAGAGGGCAAAGCCAGCTTCCATCCCCTGTAGCTGAGGCTGATGCTTCAGTTTTTTTCTTTCTCTGCAGTGAACAGAGTATCTGCCAAGCTCGGGCTTCTGTGATGGTCTACGATGACACCAGTAAGAAATGGGTACCAATCAAGCCTGGCCAGCAGGGATTCAGCCGGATCAACATCTACCACAACACGGCCAGCAACACCTTCAGGGTCGTTGGAGTCAAGCTACAGGATCAGCAGGTGAGTGCTTGAGTTAGAGACTACACCCCGAGCCTGTGCACCCCTCCTCACTATCGCCCCCTTACACACACTTATCGTGAAAAGAGGTCAGGGAAAAAAGAAAGGTCAATGTTTGGAATCAAGGATCTGGGTTCAAATTCCGACTCCACGTGCTCATACTCCAAGGTATGACACCTTAAGCAAACTGTCTTTCTGAACTTCAGGTTTCACATCTGTCAAAGGGAGACAGAAATCCACACCTACCTACTTAACTGTGTTAGTGTCAGATGACAATAAAATGATTGGTACGAAAAGGCTTTGAAAAGTATGTTGCACAAATGTGTCTTATTCTGTACCTGCATATCCATACGTAAAGTGGCTATTAGGATTTTTGGTTCATCACCTCCCCACCCCTAAGTCTTATTTTGGAAAGAGTGTCAAGATGATTTACAGAACCTAGGATCATTTCCCTCCTTAATAGTACATCCTGGGCAAGCCAGATGAGATAGTTTGTGAGTGGACTTGGTAAATTCCTATACAAATACACAATAACAACCTTGTCCACCCATGTCACAAATAGTCGTACACGTATAACTTAGACAAAGCAGTCTGATGGGGCATGGGCTGAAACAGACATAGAGAAGTGGGTTGTCTTGCTTAACCGTGGTGACTTTGGTTAGAACTTCAGTGTTCTCCCTCCAACGCTATTCTTAGAGATTGACAAGGGCACTTTTTTTTTTAACTTATTACCATTTTATTTTTACTATAGAAAAACTCAAGAGCAATATACTATTATAGAGGACATATGTAGTATTACATGACATAAAGCAAATTTAAAGTTATTGTTACACAGATGTTTAAAAACACATGACAAGTGGGATTGTTGGCTTCTCTGTTCCTTCCTTGCCCTTTGTCATCTTTGTTACAATGTGTCATGGGGAGCCATATAAATGAATGCCTCAAATGTTTTCTTTTTTTTTTTTATTTCGGCATATTATGGGGGTACAGATTTTAAGGTTTCAATAAATGCCCTTTGCCCCCTCCCCCCACAAGTCTAAGTTTCCAGCATGACCATCCCCCAGATGGTGCACATCTCACTCATTATGTATGTATATACCCGCCCCCCCTCCCCCCTGCCCAATACCCTATTACTGTAGTATCTATATGTCCACTTAGGTGCTACTCAGTTAATACCAGTTTGCTGGTGAGTATATGTGGTGCTTGTTTTTCCATTCTTGGGATACTTCACTTAGTAGTATGGGTTCCAGCTCTAACCAGGAAAATATAAGAAGTGCTATGTCACCGTTGTTTCTTAGAGCTGAATAGTGCTCCATGGTATACATATACCACATTTTATTAATCCATTCTTGGATTGATGGGCACTTGGGCTGTTTCCACAGCCTTGCAATTATGAATTGTGCTGCTATAAACATTCGAGTGCAGGTGTCTTTTTTTGTAGAGTGTCATTGGATCTTTTGGGTAGATGCCCAGCAATGGGATTGCTGGATCAAATGGTAGATTCACTTGTATCGCTTTAAGGTATCTTCATATTGCTTTCCACAGCGGTTGAACTAGTTTGCAGTCCCACCAGCAGTGTGGGAGGGTGCCTCTCTCTCCGCATCCACGCCAGCATTTATTGTTTGGAGACTTTTTGATAAAGGCCATTCTCACTGGATAAGTGAGAATAAGTGATATCTCATTGTGGGTTTTGATTTGCATTTCCCTGATGAGTAGAGATGTTGAGCATTTTTTCATGTGTTTGTTGGCCATTCTTCTGTCTTCTTTAGAAAAGTTTCTGTTCAAGTCCTTTGCCCACTTTTTAATAGGGTTATTTGATTTTTTCTTGCTGATTTTCCTGAGTTCTAAGTATATTCTAGTTATCAGCCCCTTATCGGATGCGTAGGATGCAAAAATGTTCTCCCATTCTGTAGGTTGTCTGTTTACTTTCATGACTGTTTCTTTGGCTGTGCAGAAGCTTTTTAGTTTGATAATGTCCCATTTATTTATTTTTGTTGCTGCTGTGATTGCCTTTGGGGACTTCTTCATAAACTCTTTGCCTAGGCCGATGTCTAGGAGAGTGTTTCCAACATTTTCCTCTAGAATTCTAATAGTTTCATACCTTAGGTTTAAGTCTGTTATCCAGCGTGAGTTGATTTTTGTGAGAGGTGAAAGGTGTGGGTCCTGCTTTAGCCTTCTACAAGTGGCTATCCAGTTTTCCCAGCACCATTTATTGAAAAGGGATTCTTTTCCGCAGCGTATGTTTTTGTCTGCTTTTTTTTTTTTTTTTTTTGAGACAGAGTCTCGCTTGTTGCACAGGCTAGAGTGAGTGCCGTGGCGTCAGCCTAGCTCACAGCAACCTCAAACTCCTGGGCTCAAGCAATCCTGCTGCCTCAGCCTCCCGAGTAGCTGGGACTACAGGCATGCGCCACCATGCCCGGCTAATTTTATATATATATTAGTTGGCCAATTATTTTTTTCTATTTATAGTAGAGACGGGTCTCGCTCTTGCTCAGGCTGGTTTCGAACTCCTGACCTCGAGCAATCCGCCCGCCTCAGCCTCCCAGAGTGCTAGGATTACAGGCGTGAGCCACCGCGCCCGGCTTGTTTTTGTCTGCTTTGTCAAAGATTAGATGGCTATATGAGGATGGTCTTATATCAGGATTCTCAGATCTGTTCCTCTGGTCAATATTCCTATTTTTGTGTCAATATCAGATTGTTTTAATTACTACAGCTTTGTAGTATAGTTTGATATCTGGCATATTAATGCCTCCCATTTGGTTTTTGGTGCCTAGAATTACTTTTGATATTCGGGGTCTTCTTTGGTTCCATACGAAGCGTAAAATTATTTTTTCTATATCTGTGAAGAACGCTGATGGGATTTTAATAGGTATTGCATTGAATCTGTAGATCAGTTTGGGTAGTATAGACATTTTAATGATGTTGAGTCTCCCAATCCACGAGCATGGAATGGATTTCCATCTGTTTACATCCTCTGCTATTTCCTTCCTCAGTGTTTCATAGGTCTCCCTGTAGAGGTCTTTTACCTCCTTGGTTTAGTATATTCCTAGGTACTTCAATTTCTTTGTTGCTATTGTGAAGGGAATTGAGTCTTTGATTTGGTTCTCAATTTGATTGTTGTTGGCGTATATGAATGCCTCTGATTTCTGTGCATTGATTTTGTATCCTGAGACTTTACTAAATTCATTGATCAGTTCCAGGAGTTTCTTGGTTGAATCTTTGGGGTTTTCTAAATATAATATCATATCATCAGCAAACAGTGAAAGTTTGATCTCTTCTGCCCCTATTTAGATACCTTTAATTCCACTTTCCTGTCTGATTACTGTAGCCAAGACTTTTAGCACTATGTTGAATAGAAGTGAAGATAGTGGGCAGCCTTGACAAGAGCATTTTTAATAGTGAAGTTAGCAGATCTATGATTTCAGCATTTATGAAAAACTACTTAAAGAGCATCGTCTGGCAACCTTTGTTGGTCAAGTTTTGGCTACGTGGAACAGCACATTAGCTGTTATGGCTGAGAGAATCAGCATGTTCACAACTAGAAAAAGAGAACAGAAACTTTGGGTTCTATTTTTAGTGCGTTGCCTGTTGAATGAGTTTCTGCTTTGGCCCAAATAGGCCTATTAAGTTTCAAGTTCTTGTGGCTAAAAGGGACATCCCCAATTCAGGACCCCTGATATAAGGTACTCTGTCTAACTTTGAGCTCTTGGTATCTCCAGAAGCATCCCTTCCCCTTATCGATGAGCCTTAATGGTATGAAGGTTTTTCTACAAACTTCTAGAAGCTACTTCCGTATTCTTCCAATTCACCAATTCTAAATCTGCCTTTTAGAGACACACTGTGCCACATATTGCAGGATATATAGCACCCTTGGCCTCACTTACGGTGACAACCAAAAACACCTAACAAATTTCCAGAACATGCTATGGGCTGGGGGCTGGGAGGGGACAGTACCATTCTGGTTGAGAGCCTTTGACACAGGGTCCATTCTCTGGTGCAGTTCCTCAACCATAGTAGGTGTTCTCTAAGTGATTGCTCTTATTGTGACAAGTTTTCCATTCCCTTCCTGCCTCTCTGTCATCCTCCAGGACATACTAGAAAGGTAGCATGATGTGTGTGCTGGAAAGGCCTGGGATTATAGCTGGGCTCCCCAAAACCTAAATGTACCTGTTCTCAGGGGCCTCAATACCCCACTGCCTCCTTAAGAGGAAATCACATGTTGAGGAGGAGACCCTTTCCCTGTACAGGGAGGGACTGGCAGCAGGATAACAGTGACACCCTGTTTAAATTTAAAGGGGCTACATTGTTTCTGACTTAGGGGTCTCCTGGAGTCTGACAGAAGAAGTACGAACACAGCCTTCTGCTTGGAATTGTGTGTTCCAGAAACAGGCTATCAGATGGGGCTGAAAGCATCTCCCCCAAATGGCTGTGGTGTGTTAGCTAGAAATGTAAAAGAAATTCCTAGTAAACCTTAGGCATTAGAGGAAGCGGCAGGAAACCTGGTTCATAATAACTGTTGGAGAACTCAAGAGAAAAAATTGATTTTCACTGATGTTTCCTGTCAGTGTGGACTACCATCTTAAAATGGTGAAACATTTTAAGAGCCGAAGATTTCTGGTTTTATAACTAAATAGGAGTATCTTACATGTTTAATGCTCTTCGTGGTTTATGGGGCACTATTCATGGCTATGATTTCATTCTCCCAATAACCTCATGAGGATGATAGTACAAGAATTATTATCCTAATTGTGCTAAATACATGGCTATAAAACCAGATTATTATTTGTGGAGAAAAGAACTAGTAAGGTATATCACCATTAGCCAAAGCCTTTCCTGAATCTCACTTGGAAGGTGAAAAACCTAAAGAATTCTTAGTTGAGAATGAGTTATGGCCACCAAAAGCGTTAGTGAGTTCGTAGGCTGCATTAAAAAAAGTAAAGTGAATAGAATTAGAGTGAACGAATAGAAGCACAGTAAGTTATTAGGAGTAGAGTGAATTGTAG